TAAAAGTACTAGCCCTTGGACAAGAACACATGAGGACGGGTGGAGGACAAGGGGATATCTACGATTAACTTCCCACTCCTCAATCCCTATTACTATCTGTTATCAACTTTTAACTGCTGTCCTCCTCCCCTTCTTGGAACATCACTGAACTTTCATCCCTCAAAACTACAGCTGTCCAAAGCTGCTTTATCCTTCTCAGCAATCAACACCCCTACTTACTCTGGAACATCTTCTGTCATCATTGCAAAACTGAATTTTGCCATCATCAAGACAGAATTAGCTACCTTGTTTCTTGTTCTTGGAATTACAAAAAACATAATGGCAACTCTCTTCCAAGAGAAATTCTTTTCATTATAGGAAGTTTAGCATGCAAACACTAGAGCTAGTATTTACTTATTCAGTCATTTATTTCATTAATATTGAGATTACTATAAAATGAAATATCTTAATATACATTATGAGGCTTAATTCAATTCTGAAAGCAAGAAACTATATTGGGGGGGGGGGTGGGGGGGGTGGGGAAGTGGGGCACCAACAGTTACAACACAACATTTTACATACTAAAAGGAAAAAATCAAAAGGATCCATACACATAAAATCAGGCATCATCACACCAAGCTACATTATGTAACATTCCTTTCTCAACACCTTATGAATACAAGCAAATTTTACATGCATTAGGTGCCATTTTTGAGATTCTTATTATGTTCAGTCCTAAATTATGAATATATCAAAATCACTGTTTGTACAATTCTATTTAATTTAAAGGCAAAATTGTATGATGAATCCAGCATGAGAGTAAAGTTTTAATTCTTATATACCTTATAAAGTAATTAAAAGTTTCGAAGCATCATCTCTAAAATCAAGGAGATAAGACACAACCAAGTATGCATTCTGTTTGATATGAATGTGTGCAATATATGGGTCTAATATATATTAAAAAAAAAAAAAACAGGCAATATTAATCCAAATAAAAATAAACTCATCCCTCAAAATTAGGAGGGAAGAAACTAGCCGAAAATCTCGTTTACCTTTTCCTATCTTTACTTCACCGAACTTTAAGTCTTTTCCTCATAATTTTAAACTCTATAATTTAAATGTGACATTTGCACAGGTACTCAAATGAAAAATTACTCGAACATCAACAGTTACAGAAATAAATAAATGAAACAACATGTAACACCTAGTACTTAGATTACCATTTAATCCCAGGTAGGTGTTACTGCACGAGACAGTGAAGTTTCTTTGGATCATTATGTACTGATCTGCCAATGTTTTCTTCAGTATAAGCTTCTTCTCTTACCTTTCTAAGACATCATATAAACAAGGAGTCTGACCTGCTTCTTTACACACAAAAGTATCATTCAAAATGAAATTACAGTACTAAGTTAATTCATTCTTAATCATGACTTTCTGCAACAACAGGAATATTGGTAAATAAAATAAACATATTAAAGTCGCTTTTTCAATAAAAATTTAAAAGGCATTCCCTAAAAAAAGGTGGAACAGAAACAAAGGGTCCCAAATGAAAACATTTTTGGTGCTTTCAAAGCAACTGTACATTTGTTAAGTTAGAAGAGATGTCAGTCGACAAAAGAAAAGAAGTGTCTATTTGAAAAAGAAGCATCACACCACATTAACTATATTGTTCTTCAAAACACCAGCCTGCTTAACTTCCAGAAAGGGCTGATGATGGGAAAAAATGTCTATAACCGCAAATAGAATTTTCCAGCAGCCGTGCAGTATTACTTCAAATGCGACTGTGTGGTAAATGAAAGAAACAGCAGAGGAAAAGTAAGATCCAGTTCTTGGTGAATCATCAAAAAGCAGTTGTCTGTAGAGAGACTGAACATCAGGAATCTTATCAGCTAAACAGTCTGTCCAAAGAATTAAAGTTCCTCCTCAGAGCACTAGAACCCAGGCACTATTTTCCCTTCTCAAATTAAACATTCCCTCTCTGATTTGCAAATAAGAGCACATCACCTACTAAATAGGAGTATTCATTTTGCTACTGATGGTTTTTCATCCTATTACAAATTGGGGTTTGGTAGTTCTAAAATGTAGCATTTATTAATTTCTAAAACATATTGCAATGGGGCTGCAGCAAAATTTTAGATTTATAGGATTAAAATGATCAATAATTCTACATTATAGTCAAAAACATATATTACCTACTAGCACTAACAGTCTTGAAAATATGCAGTACATCACATTTAGAGAAGACCTAAGGTGTTAAAAGTAGAGATGAATACATACAACAATGTGTTCAAAAAAAAAAAAGGAAAAAAGACTGACATACCAATCAAAAAAAAAAAAAAATCAGACATACATTTGTATCTGTTTCCCTCCTGTCTAAATAAACACAGATTTAGAAGGCTAACATTGCATTTATGCCACTTTATGGTTGCAACACTACACACAAGTCAAGAAAACTAAAATTACACTTCTCACTGCAATTTTAACTCAGCTATATTTCATATGCAAAGAAGTTAGAATTACAGTATGTTATTCTGCCTCTTAAATACTACAAACACCTAAGCGGGAATGTGGGAATCCTAACTCTAATTTTACCAGCTCACACAATTTCAAGATCTCAAAGAGACCATTGCATTAAATATCCAAACAACTCTATAATACTAGTTAATAGCAATTTGTTTATTCTATTTATGAACCCACCACTGTCCCTTTACTGTCTCTGGTTGTTGTAGCAGCATATCAAAACAACATTAAGAATGTGAAAATACTACATGCTCTGCTCAATCCTGACTTTTTAAAGCTAATTTCTTAGATGAAACACAGAACTTCTATTTTTTTCTGTTTTACGTGAGCATAAATGTGGCAACACTCCATTGCCATCCATTGATTAGATGCTAAGACTATACCAAAGACTTGGAATTCTGGCCCCGCTGATTAGAAACAGTGACTATCACTGCCCTTCCATTCTTCCATTTTAAGTACTACCAAACTAAGTATAAAGCTTTTTTTTCACACCTATGATGAAGAAAGTTTGTGACTAGTCCAGAACACAATTCACTTCAGCATGCTAACCCAACTCAGAGAAAACATCTGTAATATATTTTATGTTCCTACTTGGTCTTTCAAATTGCTTTTTTTATATTAAAAGAACATGAAGACATACTTTATTGAAACAATTTTGTGACAACAAAACTGTGGTAACAGAACTGTCACCCTTGACTGAGGTACAATAGGAAAATATGAAAAAAAATAGAAATTACTGGCTTAGTTGACAAAGATTTCATTAAACCTCTCTCAGAACTAAGCACAATAACTTCATAAAAAAATAAGAGAGTCTAATCTAAATATCACCTTGTTAAAGATCTGACTAAATTACTGGTTCTGTTACCTCCAATCCAGCTTTTGAGAATTCCCTATGTCACAAGTACCAGAAGTCAGTTAATTAGTAAATATAAGGGTACATGAAATAATGCACATTCATGTAAAAAGCTGTTGGAACCATCTCATGAAGCATTTCTTTCACATATTATACTCAAATATTAACACAGACATTTCATTTAAGAGGAATTAAGTCAGTGTACACCTACAGAGTTTAGGATGCCAGAATCACTTCAATTGGAAGTCTTATCCTGAGAGTTCCCAAAGCTATGTCAGAGTCACCATTATAGTCTGCTTTTAAGTCAACAGCACTAATAACCAGCTGTTTCTACTGGAAAAAGAAATGCTAGTGAGACAAGACATCTGTACTGTGTAGCTGCCAGATTTACTCAGTGTGTGGCCACAGGTGTTGACCCGAGTGTTGTAGGAGCCAAAAAAGAAAGACAAAAGGAATTGGCATTAAAAGCTGTACTAACAGAAGGCATCCAATACTCAAGTTTCATGAAAGTAATTTTAACTGTCAGGTCTTAGAAACATGACTCACTTTTCTTCTCTGATTTGATTCTGGCTATATCCAGAAGAAAACAAGAGGAAATACATGAGTTTTCTACAAAGTGAGTTAAAGGTTATGACCATTTCATTGCCATTCTTCAAAACTGTAGTACCTGACTCAAAGAGGTATGATATAGACAGACTGGTACTTGCAAACCTCAGTAATGTTTCCACTACTGACATACTTCTGCTTAAACAGCATTGTGAAAGTATTAAAAAATAAAATCAACTAATTCTAGTGTCAAGAGTTTATGATGAACATTAACTTTAGCCAGTATGATACTCCATAAATCAGAAAATTTTTAAGCAAAATTTATTTTTATAACATAGCTAAGCAAACATTTCTTTCATTGAGTAGGATGTTACACACATAAGAAAAAAAAAATAGATTATGTTACCATAAATTCTAGGAAGTACTGCAGCCATGTATTCAATACAAATTATTACAGCAACCCTTAAGTACAAATGGGAAACAATGCAGTAGCTACTTAAAAACTCTCCACAGCAGCAAAAAAAATAAGTTAAGGTGAACTACCAACAAGCAACTTGTGAAACGTTGCAAGTGTATAATATTTAGTTTGTCCTGCTATAACACTGGAAGAAGGTTGAAAACTTCAATGAAAAATGTGTCTTCTCTGTGAGACTTCACACATGTATTTAATGAACAGTGCTGAATTTTGCAATGGAAGCAACTGTAATTCCATTGTCTAGCATCTAATTACAGTTTACAGATTTTTATTATGCAACACAAACTATTCCATATCCAAGGCAGTTAATACTTTACAAATAATTGGCCATAGCTACATTAGAACATGCTAAGTCATACTGTTAGAAACACATCTATTTGTGCAGTGGTTTTAATCTGTTCAGTGAAACAGAACATAATAAGGATGAGCTGACTTACAATAATGTACTTACAGAAGCGGCCTGTTAAACATATATTCCCACTGATGTCAAAAGTCAGGCTCTGACCTAAAGAACTTAAGGCTTTGGAGCAGGCCGGTAGATACTTAACAGAGTGTTCACTGGACATAAATATACTCTATATAAAACCCTCCTGAAAAAACAGTAAGATAATACAAGAAAGGAATTACCTGGAGCGTCTTGTAATGATCTTGATGTGAAATTCCTTTTTCTTTTTGTTCCTTCGAGAAATTCATTCCTAGAATACTATTTTTTTCCAGTAAACATTCTAATTCCTATAAAGTTTACAAAATAAAATATAAGAAGTTACAAAGATTCGCGAATTGTGAAAATACAGATTCAGTTAATCATTCCAATTAGTTTTATTTCTGAAGACTATGACATTTGTTATCATAAAATACACAGAGATAAAGGATTGTACATGAAAACTCTGATTGCAGTCTTTACACTGAGACAGTATTTTCAAGAAGTATAAGGTATTTAGAATCAAAGGCATGTCCTGGAAGGCATGTTCTATGAGAAGCAGCTAAGGTCCCTGGGCTTGTCTAGTTTTGAGGAGGCTGGGGGGCGACCGCATTGCTCTCTGCAGCTCCCTGAGGAGGGGATGTGGAGAGGGGGGTGCTGAGCTCTTCTCCCTGGGACCCAGTGCCAGGGCACGTGGGGATGGCTCAAAGCTGCACCAGGGGAGGTTCAGACTGGACATCAGGCAGCATGTCCTTACCCTGAGGGTGGCCAGACACTGGAACAGGCTTCCTGGAGAGGTGGTCCATGCCCCGAGCCTCTCAGGGCTTAAGAGGCATTCAGACAACACATTTAACCTTAACTTTTGGTGAGCCCTGAAGTGCTCAGTCAGGTGGACCAGGTGATTCTTGTAAGTCCCTTCCAAATTGAACTATTCTATTCTAATCATTTCCATATTTTTAATAACTTGTTCTGTCTTTCTGCATTTGAAAAGCAGCATATTAAATGCACTTTGAGCAAATGGTTTCACTAAAAAGGCAGAAATCCCATTACATACAGCCCTACATCTCCAAAATTAATAAAATTTTAAAATATTCTGTGATTTCGCAGAGAACCAGTCCAGAAGCCTGTCCAACATGAACCAATAGAGAGGAAGGAGAATGACACTACTGACAATAAACTTCAAAATTATTTGCTTCACAAACAGCTAAAGATGATTTGATCTTTTTTTTTTTAATGCAGATGTTGCTCCTACCAAACTCATTTATACTATACATAAGCTATTGGCATGCTTTCAGTTACTCAAGAATAACTATTTCTGCAGCCATGCAGGAAGCCAGTATAGAAACAAATGGCCTGCCAGATCACTGTACAGCTATTCAAACAAAGGCACAGCTGAGAGGGTCATAAGGAGGACAGAAAGAGCAGGTCTGCTTAGTTCAATCCTGCTTTTGGATGAAACAATAAAAACAGTTCTCAAGATTCAAAGACCGATTTAACTGTAGAGACAGAAACTGATCTCCTCATCTTTGGCTCTAGCTATTCATCCTCATTTTCATTTCCAACAAGCCATTTCCTCCTTCCCTAGTGCACCTTGATAGCTATCAAGGAACGGTATTAAGAATAGCAGAAATGAAGCTTACTCTGCTGTGCCTCAGTGACCTATTTCTAATTCAGACCCATAACTATCTATCATATTCAGGTCAGAAGGAATATGAAGAATTTAGTTACCAGAGCTTCCAGAAAAAAGAAAAAAAATAAAAGAAAGAAAAAAAGAAAAAAAAAAAACAAAACACCATGATGTGTTATGTTTATAAAGATAGCCAAAGACACTTTCAACTTCAGTGCCCACACACCCCCAAAACATGGGGGAATCACTATACCTTCTAACACATTGCACCATGCTAAGAAAACTTGACTTGTTTTGTTGTTGTTGTTTTTCCCCTCCAGGAAAATAATATTTTTCTTCCTGAAACTTTAGAAATATTTAGCCAAAAAACGACAACAGACATGACAAAAAAAAAAAAAAAAAAAAAGTATTTTGGCTAAATTTGTCCAATAGATCTGGAGTTTGGCTACACAAAATGCATTGCAAATCTCTACCAGCTCCCACTATATTTAAATCCTATGTAAATGCCAAACAATTTTATTATAAAAACTATTCATACCTTTTTATTTTTTAATTTTTCCTCTTCAGCAGTGCAAAGCTTGTTTTCTAGGTTTGCAACAGCTTGTTGAAGGTAGCTCTTTGGTTCATTTGTTCTCTGTGTCTCAGCATCAACCGAAGCAATGGCTGACGTAACTGAAGCCTTGTCTTCAACTACATTCAAAGAGGCAACTGGAATATCTGCTTGAATCTAATTCATACAAGAAAGAAAATGGTAAAGGAAACGGTAAAGGCAATTTAACATTCCAGTCAAGTAAAATTAAATTTCCAGATGACATTACAGAATTTAAGAACCATAAATACTAAGGTTACTTTTTTGAAACCACACTTCTCTGAAATTGGCCATGCAAACTCTCTTATGTTGGACATGCTGGCCAAAAAGGAAGCTTCAACAATGAAACAGTAGCTAGTAATTCTAGATGGATTCACATCAATCCTTCCGATCTCCTCCACTGCTTTTCAAGAATACTTTAGGAGAAGGCTTTAAGGAGGAGGATGGAACCAATATCTCAGTTTCCAACGAGGCTGAAATACTCAAAACAGCTGAAAAGAGAAAGAAGTGAAACTGAATCATCTGTCTCAATGCATCAGGCTTACAGGGAAATAAACTCTCCTTGGATTAGTCACTCCATGTTTTCACCCAATGCAGGCTGCAAACAGTAGCCATGGAAATGGAATACAAATCTTTTGTGCTAAAATAAATATCTCATCTTGAGGCTAGACCAACAGAATAAGAGTAATTGGGACATGTCTACAACATTTAGTTAATGCAATTTCAGTGAACTGTAGAAGTACAAAAACTAAAACAGAGGCTTCTAGAATACACAACCCAAAACAGATGAAACACTGATAATAAGCCCATTTTTTCAGACAAGCACAAAAATAAATTAGGTGAGGTTTAAAGTATGTTGTGGTATAATTAACAAAAGCCAAAGATTATTTTGCTTAAAAAAAAAAAAAAAAAAAAAAAAAGGGCAAAAACTTGTTTATATCTCAAAGGAACTTCAAAGGAAAAAGCTGGTAAATTAATTTCAGCTGCCACTTTTTCAACAACAATTTGAAAGCCAAGAGCACTTGAGATTTGGGGAGGGGTGGTGAAAGAAACATCTCAGTGTGTTTATTAAGAGAGGTTTGAATGACCTGATTTAATCCATTCCCCTAATACCTTTTATTCCAAACAGACACTCAAATGTAAGATTGACTTTTCAATAAATATCTCTCAAAGGATTCAATGAAAGGAAGAAACAAGAATAGCTGAGATCTTGACTCTACAAGGATACAGAAGACCCAGTAGACAGTACAGCCACAAAGAAAACTGCAGTTTGTGTTCTGACTTCCCCTTCTGTAAGAAGCAAATAGAAGCTAGATGTACTAATTTTACTTCTGAGTTCTACTCAAGATTAGAATCTGGTACTGCCAAAATTTGTGACAGCGGAACCTGAAACACTGAAGTTTTTTTAACAAGAATTGTCAAGAAGTTCTGGAGATACAATTACACAAGAATACAATTCTTCTAACATCCTATTCTAACAGGTGTAAGAATATTTTATTACAGTTTTATGTCCATCATCTTCCTTTAGATTTATCCAAAAGTGCGAAGTCTAAGTCTGATCTCCATTGCAAAATAATGTTAAGGGACCTCCTCCCAACTTCCTTTAATAAATTTGCCAATGTTGTATTCTTTAGTTTGGATTTCCTGCCTTAAAAAGAGAATCTATGGAACCATGCATCTGTCAGAAGCTGACCAGAACAAAATGAGAAAAGTTGAAATATGGCCTACAAGTAGAACTTGCATACATAGTTATTCAGAAGTAATAAAGTGTACTTATTTTGAGTAAGATTACCTAACCAAATGACTTTATAGTCTTAAGAAATACACCTAAACCTTAGTATTCTGGAATATCTGAAGTGCTCTTTCCAGAGAATACACAAGCTAAAACTGCTGGCCTGGGTCAAACAAGAAAGGATACAGGTTAATCAAATTTCACTGTTAGCCAAAATCAAAAAGGGTAGGATGTGTTGTAGCTGAAGCAAAGCATATTTTAATCATCCTGCCAGCAATAGAAATTTACTTATCAAAACATTGTCAGAGAGGCAGATGAAGAGCTTTCAACACAGAAAACGACCTTGGCTTGCATCAGTCAAAAAAGAAAACAAACACTCCACCCTCTCAAGAAAAAACACAACTTCAGGATTTCTAAGAAAATTTCTTTGGTATCATTTGCATCTGAGCACATCTCTTCTTCACTTTTTATAGGTTTTCCCAAGAACATTAGGCTGGGAACAAATACAGAAGAGTAATTAATTCATTACTAAGACTGAACTACTGGAACAGTACTAGCCACTATCTTTCTAGAAGTGTGAACATACAGATGTCATGCAAAGGAAAGCCAGTAAGATTCAGTCAAAACAAGTATTTTGTACAAGTTGTTTAAATAGCTCTAGCAAAATACTTTTAAACTGTCAGATTATGGAAATCCGACTCATTCATGAAATTCAACTTTCAACATGAGTAGCCCTAGGACTTGATGAGACTACCTGACCAAGTAAGTGATAAAAATGAGAGGGTCACAAACTAGCCCAAAATGTTGATTGGTTCAGAGAAAGACAAAAACACTTTCAAATTCAAGTATACACTACTATGCATCCTGAAACAAGGAACTTTGCAATCAATAAACTTGTTCAAATAGGTGACACTGCAATCAATTGTAATAGAAATTCACTTGGGAGGGTAAATCTATTTAATTCTTGTCCACAGCAATCTAGCATTCCTGTCCTGATCCCCAGGAAGACATTATTTTCTCTCCCTTGCTCACCTGTTTAGTTAAAAACTAAATACCTTCACCCCCCAAAAGGATGGCAAGATCAGCTCTCAGCAGCATTGCAGCTACAAGGAGAGATCATGATCACATAAATAGGACTGTGTCAGATCACAAAATAAAATAAAAAATTTTAAAAATCTACTTTAAAAATAATGGTGGAAAAAACAAAGTAAATATAATAAAGGTAAAATTAATTTAATTATAATTAAGTAAAGATTAAAAATTTATTTTCTCTAATCCTAAAACCACTGAAAAAAAACATGCATTATAAACATAATCTTTATAGCTTTAACAGTAACAATTTTTTTTAGACGACGTTCCTGATGTTATTTCCTACCTAGTGCTATCAGAATGCCTTTAACTTTTAATAACTCTTCAACACACTTATATCTTTTGCATTCCATATCATAGTAGTATAACGTCTCCCAGTTATAGAATTTAAACATAATTTTTAAATTATTTTACTTCAAAGACTGTATCACAGAAATCCAAGGACCTTCTGCTCTTAAAAGGCAATTCGATCTAAATTTGCACAGAAAAGATACAATGCTAAGATATTTAATACATCAAGTTCCCATACTGAAACACAAAAATTGTGATTTTACCTGCTCTTCGAGAACATCTGGGTTTATAATGTTGTTGGCTGTTTGAATAGTTGTTGCCACATTATCACTTGATAAACTGAATGAATCAGAAGGAACCAGGCAGGAAGAAGGCACAGAGCGCTCCAGAACATCAGAAGATATACGGACTTCAGATACTAATGCAAGAAATAAAACCAGAACACACACACAAAACATGAAAAAGCATTCAAAAATTAATTCCGTTTCTGAAATCTATACTTAGAAAAACATGTCACGCTAGCAACAAGTATAGTCATACTAATATAAGGTTATTTACCTTTTAATCTAATTGCATTGAAAAATAATTGCATACAAAGTTCCTGTATTTTTGAGTACTATCAACTTAAGGGCATTCAACATTGTACAGTTACACTAAATTTAGATTTATAATTTACACAAAGGCTTCACAAGACAACTTCCATCAAAAGCAGCAGTTTTAACTTTGTCTCTTTCCATTCACATAACCTATTAGTTTAAGTCAACAGTAAAACCACACTTACATTTTCCTAAGTTTTATAAATTTTAAAGGTAAAAAAAACATCAGCTGTCTGAGAAGACATATACAAACAGCTTACCGGACATAAAATGTAGAACTGCTTTTATCATGTAAGAGATCAAAAGATAACAAAGAAAATAACACTCTAACTAATAACATTTAAATGTAAATAATACTGCAGTGAGAGCTCTTCCCTAGCAATTTCCAGTTACGCCACAAAAATCTGGAACAGTGGATCATCATTATCAACCTGGCACGAGAGAAACTCAAACACTTTTACAAAAGATTCAGACATTAACTAACAAAAAGGAAAGAAAGTCCTGCAAACTTTGATATGGTCAGCCACAGGTATGCCTTTGGAGTAGACAAAAAAAGTATATCCACTTGCTTTGGATAAAGCAGCTCACATTATTGTTACAAATCTGGTAAAATGTAAAAGATGCCACTAGCCCAGAGCAAGGCTCAGCCTCGCAATAGCACCCTTTAATACCATATAAGTATGCATACACAGTGCAAACAAACATATACGTTGGCCTAAAGGCATTCCGAAGGACACACTAATCCTCGAATCCAAGTGCTCCGTGTCCCATCTTCTTTACCTCCCAGTTCTGGGATTCTGGTTAACATAGAGGAACATGCAAAACCTCATCTAACAAAATGAAGAAAGAAAATAGACCATGAGGCAGAAAAATATCAGGATGCTAACTGCAGCAATAGCAGATTTGGACATGTGGGAAGAAAAAAAAAAAAAAAAAAAAACTGAGCAGAAAATGGAAACTTGGATGAAAAGCCTAGAGGACAGTACTTCAGCAGACAGAAGAGGAACCAATTTAGGTAATCAGGACAAAACAAAGGTCTGGGACACAGCTGCATCTTTAACAGTAAACTCTTCTCCAGAACTGGAAATAGGACATTTTAGGCTTCCTTTATGTACCATAAGGTATCTCTGAAACACTCCCTCCCTTTCCAAATGCCTGCTTAAAAGGCAGTTTCCTATAACCATTACCTACTCTGTTAGTTCAAATAACACTGAAATGACAGAGAAAATTATATTTTTGCTTCTAAAAAACCAGTAAAGTCTCTGTTTTATGATATCAATTAATACCCTGAATTTCAGTTTGAAATCAATTTCCAACTGATGGAAAACCAACCAAAATAACGTACAAGGCGATTCTGACAGGGTGAACAACCCGTTTCTCCTACTAAAACTGTCAACTCACAAGGAAAAAATCTAGCATGACACTGATCCTTGTGGAGGTAGCATTCATCCTTTGGTGATGATTAACATAGTATAGGCATAATTCACATATAACTAATTTACCGTGAAAGCAAACACAGAAATTGAGTCTGGGTATGGATGAGGAATGGAGACTCACAGAGGTTAAAGGTTAGGGTAGGCTACTCCAAAATAGGTGACAATACTACACATAAGACTTCATTTTTCAGATAATACAGTTTTATGTGGAACCTTTTAAAATCAAATCAAGCTTTCAGTGATTCTAGTTATAGTAATGAATGCTTAGCATTTTGAGGGGGAAGAAAAAAACAGAAATAAAATCCCCACCTTTTAAGTTGTCAAAATAAAGCCTAGGTAATGAGGAGCAACAACTGGTGACCACCTCTGAACACTGTGGTTTAAAATTATTCAACTAAATACATGACCTTGCAGAAGACAAGAAAAGGCAGCAACTCTCCAAGCTATCATTCAAATGTCTTTTCTACAAAACATTCCTTTCACTTTCAGCAAGGTTAAAGATTCGTAAGTTACACATTCCTAGAATTACATGTGCTATGCAAGTAATTCAAGCTCTCTTAATTCATTCCTTTTGCATATATATTGGTGAAATTGCATTAGCACTTCAGTTCAGCTCAAAATTCACTTATGAAGACAATCCCTCAGTCATTCCTGCTTACCATGCCTTAGTTACCATAATGGAACAGCTTCAGAACCCCCAAAAGAAAAACTTGCCTCTGATAAAACTACCTAACTGGACTCCAACAGCTAACAATGTTCAAGTCCACAGGACCAGGCTACCTCTACTCTGAAATAAAACTCCTGAAGCACATCCAGTATGGCTTTAAGCCATATTGGCTTTTCCGCCCCACTTTACAGATCCTTTCCTCTTCAACTATGATACATGCTCTGATAAAAAAGACAAAATATTCCTCCACAGTATCCTGCCCTGATGCAATATATCTCCTCTAACTTCTTTGGTAAGCAAGGCAGGAGCCCGATAGTCCTGATGAACTTCCAGATAAAACTGCTACTGTTCATGGAGCAAAGCTGCAGTACTATAAAGAGAGGCAACATGTACACAACTGCTGGTATAGCAAAAGTCATATACCCAAGAAGACTAAAATGAGATGGAGATACAAGTTACTGCCAGAACTGTACTTAAATAAAAAAATCTGACAGTTTTTGAATCCTTGACTTCCCAATATTAAGAATATTCTAGCACAGGTTTGTATGTAATAACTGACAAAATCATGCAGTTTGTTAGTAGAAGCAGAGATCGGTAACAGCCTCCAGTCCTGCTCACACAAGAAAAATTCTCTATCTTTATCCTATTAATGAAGCTTAATCAATCATTAAAATCACTGGGAGATCAGAAATTGCAAAAACAAAACCAAGTGGATGAACATGAACTCAAATCAACATTCCGTGAGTCGTATACTTCATACTGAGCTTCAGAATTAAGACAGTAGATACAAAGTACGCTACTGAAAAAACAAACGTGAGTAACATTTACTTACTGGATATTATTTACATTCATCAATTACGAGATGATATGTCAGCAGGACTCTGAGCAAAAGACCATATAATAATTCTTTTACATACTTCTGTAGAATGTTGCAAACTACTCACAGCACAGTTCCCCTACAGGTAGGTTTGGGCTGGTAAAAAAGCCAAGAAACAAAAACTAAATTTCCATCCTCAACTACACGTCTTCAATGATACAATTTAATTACCCTTTAAATTATACTGTATACACTGTAAATTATCACTGAACATTTTCAATTTGAAGTGACATTCAGATAGAAAGTTTACGACTGGTTGTGTGTGTCCAAATTTCAGTGATCTGCATAAATCCCAGCCCCACATATGGTTGCTCTAGAACAACCATAACAGACAGGAAACTGTGCTCTACAAGGCAGGAATTTCTGTCAGCTGTAACATCAGAGCTAGAACACAGGAATCTACAGCCTGCATAATGTTGAATAAGCAGCTTAGGGAAAAATAAACTGAAAGTTACTGCATTTACAAACATCAACCAATTTACTTTTGCCAATAAACAGCAAACTAGCACACAACAGAACAGGTCAAATGCATTCTAAAATACCCACCCAACTGGGTATAACAAACACCCAATAAAATTAACCTATTGTTGACAATGAAAAACAACTTAATTTATGAAAGAACAGAATCTGTTTCGGGAAAACAAAAAAGAAAAAAAAATCTTAGTTTCCCATGAAACAAAAAGCAAAGTATTTCCTGTACTTACACTGCCTTTAGATCAACGTAAATTGATAACTATTAGAAAGGGTTAGATTGCTTAAAGAATGAGTGGAGGGATACATTAATAGATATCAATTGACACCCAATATGCCCATAATAAAGGGTATGAGCATCTCAGATAGCATGCATAGTCTTCTGCAAAACTGTAGGAGTTTTAGTGGTTTCTTTAGCAATTTTCCTTTCTTTTCCCTTTCAAAACCAACACTTTTAATCACTCTATTTGCAGATCACCAGTTCACCATAATGAGGTCCACTTCCACATCTTTTGCGGAATTAGAATAAGGATCAGCAGCCAGATATCTACATAATGCTGAAATTGATTGCAATTTCTCTGTTGACTTCAATGAGCATGAATGTCCTCCTGTCGACAGGAAACACTCAGCTGCTTCTCTACTCATACCAGTTTACAGCAGTATGTCAACATACAGATAGGAAGAAAAACCACTCTGATGTACTTTCAAGATGATTTCTTATAGTTCACAGCAGAAAGCTCTTCCCCACATTTTATTCTTCCAAAGCCAAACTATTCTAGAATATTAGCAATTACATATACTATTCCAACATCTTAAATCTAAAGCCATATGGAAATATTATCTCCCAACTTCTTATTTAAGTAAAACTTACATACAGCTAACAAAAGTTTACAACACTGCAACCATTTAGTTGAACCTCAGAAACAAATCTTTCAGTATTAAATGACTACATAACATAAGAAAACTGAGAACTCATTCCCATCGGTTTTGTTTTTTAAAAGAAATTGTTTTCCAGAAAACTGCCAAAATATTCAGTCAATATGTCTGTCTTTTAAAGCAGTTCGGCAAGTGTACGGAAGAGAGAGAGGAGGTATCTAATCTAATAAACATGCAACAAGACAATCTTTTAACCATATGTAAATTCTAGATAAGTCATAAAACTTTTCAGATTTGACTATTTTCAAAGCTGCATACCCCAGGTAATAGAAATCTTAGCAAGCAAAAACCAAGACCATTCCAGAAATAAATGAGGCGGTATACCATTATCAACAAAGCCTTTTGAATCCTGTCCAGTCATGGTGAGGAATGAAGCCAGTTCCCTCCAATCTCCTTTAGGATATATTAGTTTCCTACTACTATTTCCCACACTTCTACCACCCCTCCCAAGTCGAGATGTTAGTATTCTGCAGAAAACCAAAATTTATTATGAAAAGAAACAACTGAAAACAACCATTTCAACAGCTGAAAACAGCACCTTTCAAAACATGCAGATGTCTGCTTACATGTCTGCATACTAGTACAGATTACCATCTCATGTTGTAGGGACTTCAAAACATCTGGTCTTTCAACATTGCAAACAAGACCATCAGAAATACTGAATTCTTAGTTGAAACATGAAAAATAGGCTTTGCATACACACAGTCCATTGTTAATGAAAGAATTTTAGGACAAGGAGAAAGATCTTTTTCAGTAATCTGACAGGTATTCTGTTATTCAAGCAGGCATTGAGGATTCTCACTATCAGACCAAACATAAAAGCTGGCCAAATTAATCCAAAAGGTAAATCTAAAGCCTAAAAATTACATATGCTACCTCCAGATCTTCTTAGAGAAGGTAAACATATTGACATGACACAAAGCATTGAAAAGATTCCCAAAAGAACTTAATAAATAAACAAATAAAATGCAGCTCCACTGACACACCTTTGCTCCAGGAAGTAGCAAAATAAAGTTTCAGTCAAAAACTAGTAAGTGAAATAACCTTGGATCAATATAGACTGGATAACATGTATAAAAACTAACTTTTTTTTTTAATGTAGAAAAAAATTGAAGAAAAGCATTACCCTGTAAGCAGCCAAACCAATGAAACTTGGGAATGCGACACGGCTCTACATTAAGACGTGAACTTGCATGGCTACATAAGCATTACAGTCAGCAGAAACTTAGTCAGTACAACTGATGGACACGAAGCTACTGAAGCTAACCCTAAAAGCTGAATTCAGCTTTTGGGCATCTGAACAGCTCTCCAGTTCACGGACTAAACTGATTATATTTCCATTAAACAAACAGAGGTCACCTAGGTCATGTAAAATAGTGAAATTAAGATGTTTATACTTTAGTGCTGGCTTCCATACAGTTGTGCTCTTGAACCCCAGTTCTTAGTTCCACCATTTCCCATTGTCCTAGACAGCAGCTATAGGTTACAGCTCTTCTAAATTTTATTAAATTGCACAGCAATGTATTTCTACTACTAAACATCTAAATAAATAACAAAGAAAAACTGGCTCACAAATAATTATTTCTTTCATTGAAGTGTATTGCTTATCAGTTGCAAGGACCATTCTAGAATCTAAAATACTTCAGAGTTACTTTCTTAAATAAAAAAAGTATATCAAGTTACCCCCACTAACATCTCTGCAGTCAATAACACCACACTGACAGATCTGGCCACTGTATAAAAAATACATCAATTTAAATATTAATATTAATGTTCAGTAAATGAAATTGAGAACAGCATAACTGCCACATTTTTTTTTCCTCCCAAACGTTAGTTATGAATCCAAAGAGCAAAACCCCCTGCAAAGTGTCTTATAATAACAAACCAAGAAAACACTCTAAGTTTTCTGGTCAGCGATAAGAATTAATACAGTCAGTCTCTTTGAATCTCTTCTGGGAACCAGGCAGACTAGTGACAGGACACTGGAATATTCCATAATTTCTTTTAGAGTTCTTTAAAACTTAAATTTTTGTTTTCAGTTCTGAACTATATTTAGGTCTGAGTCTTAAACATACGACTTAGTAGTTCTTAGAAAGATTTAATCTTTCCAAAGAACAAGTTGTTATTCCCAAAATGTTTTGTTGTTTTTGTTGTTTTTTTTTTTTTTTTTTTTTTTAAAAAAAAAAAAAAAAAAAAAGATTTTCATATTTTTCAACTTTACAAATACATTTATTGAATCCAAGCTAAGGAAATCCTGATGATGTGAGTAGTTCCCTCGCATCTCTCCAAAGCCCAGACATTGGGTGTACAGTAGTGATTCTTTTTAGTACTTCCTCATGTTACGGCTGGAAAGAAAAAAGTTAATCCATCACATATATAATGACAGTAAGTAAGAAGGACTACTTTTTTTTACCTCAGTTAAACAATCAGAAGGAATAGACCCAACACAACAGGCGGATCTTTGGACTTTGCTAATAGTAGTAGCAAATACATCTAACTGTACAAATGCACATTGTTTTTCTTTCATTACTTGCTCATTCTTTCATATTCATAATGCATACTTTCTCACAGAGCTAAGGTCTTCAGACCAGCCCTACTTTCTAGGTCCATGCCTATACAGCACCCAGTAAAATGGGTTCTAATTCAAACTTGCAGCCATGAGAGATAAAAAAATAAATTTGTTCTCACTTTTACCATTTGGAATAAAACCAGTGTTTTCCTACTGGGTGACACTGATAGAGAAGCCTAACGGAAAAAGGTGCATACTCTCTGGTAGTTGTCCTGGTGGTAGGGGAAAAAATGGTATCATATTTCTGCTGTACAAATTCTTATTTTTCTCCTTTTCTGAACCAGCAACCACATTTAATAAACATTTTCTGGTTTTACGTACTACACAGACTATTTGCACACAGCAACAAACATTGTATCACACTATAAGCCTACTAAAAAAGTGAAATCAATGGTCAAAAAGAGTAAGAAGCCCAAGGCAAATTTCTAGGGCAAAATTGCTCACTAATCAGCACTAGGGCCTTAGAAATAATTTCTGATTTCTTCCTGTACACTGAGAAATACTGCAACAGCTTTCAGTGTTTTGCTTTATAACTTCTTACATCTTACAAACATCAGATATGGAGGAAATTGATGAAGTGAGTAACATACTCCTCTTCCGTAAAGTTCATCAAATCATGGGTATATATAATGATAGAGCACTCCAATATTATCAAATCTCTGACATTTTTCAGCAAACCTTACTGACTGACAAATTCCTATGGTAAAACAAGAAAACTTTTATATAAATAACATTGTGCAGACAATTCAGTTATTTCTGTTACTAAAAACATTAACTTACAAACCAACACCTAACAAGCATTTTGATCGGTCCTATTAAAATCTCGCCCCTTGCAATAAGTTAATTTATTCACAGCAACTTTTGCATGGAAGTCACAAAGGTTTTACAGTAATATTCTGAATGCGAGGGTTTTTTTAATTTTTTAATGCTTTAAAAAACTTGTTATAATCTATCTTAAGACTTCTGTACCACTTACAAATCATACTAAAAACTTTTGTGTTACTTACAAACCATTTAAATTCTACACACTTCATTAGATTTAAATTAGACTTCATGGGACAGACACAGTACAGCTCTATGGGTTTTAATTTAATTAAACACATTCAAATATGCTAACAAATTTTTTTAAAATATTTTTTAATAACAATCAAAATGACAAGATGAATACAAAAGTTATTTGGGAAAATATAGTTTCCTCACTATTTGTTTTCCTTTATTTCAACGACAAATTGTCCTGGTTTTGGCTGGGATAAGGTAAATTTTCTTCCTAGTAGCTGGTGTAGTGCTGTGTTTTGGATTTAGGATGATAATAACGTTGATAACACACTGATGTTTTAGTTAGTGTAAGCGGTGCTCAGCAACAAGTCAAGGGCTTTCCGGTTTCTCACACTGCCCTGCCAGTGAGGAGTCTGGGGGTGCACAAGAAGTTGAGAGGGGACAAAGCCAGGCCAGCTGAGCCGGCCTGGCCAAGGGGACATTCCATACCAGACGATGTCACGTTGAAAAACAAAACTGGGTTGAGTTGGCCGGGGGATGGCGACCCGCTGCTCAGGGACTGGCTGGGCATTGGTCAGAGGGTGGTGAGCAATTGCACTGTGCACCACTTGTTTTGTATGTTATTTTATCACTTTTATTATTATTTTCACTTCCATTTCTCTCCCATTAAACTGTCTTTATCTCAACCCTGAAGTTTTACCTTTTTTCCAATTCTCTCCCTCATTCCACTGCGGGGGGAGTGAGCAAACGCCTGTGTGGTGTTTAGCTGCCTGACAGGTTAAACAACAACTGATTATTCTGTAATGAATGAAAGCCAGTAGCACCAGAAGTAAATAAATAAAATCATTTGAAGAACGTGATTTATGGAGAGCTTTCATTGGGACAATTATTTTTAACACTATAATTAGTTTGCATAATTTAGTCAGCATAATAATACAATAACAGGCAGAAAGCTTTAGTTCCTGAGTAAAGAATAAAATGTGGGCTGTTTTATTTTTTTTTTTCCTTAATGCTGCTGAAGTGATGTTTCTTTTGGTGAAGGCAGTGAAATCTAGACTAAATTCCTGCAACAAAATCAGCTACCAACCTGTAACACCGCCTTAATCTTTTAGCTCTACTGATACTGTACATTTATCCATTATAAATAAGCTTTCACTGATTTCTTAAAATCCAGACAGGCACCAGGTATTTGTATAAATTAATAAAAGTCACTCCATAAGGTTTCAGCTTCTGCTTGAGATAAAGGATGTGGAATATTTTTTCTAACTTTAAAAACTGCTTAAGTCAAAAAAATATCATACGCCTCCCTCCCCCAAAGCAACTAAAAGACTTTATCACAGTCAAAGAAATTTTACGGAGGAAGCACCACATTCAAGTCCTATGTTTAAGTTTACATTTTGTAGGTTTTCCCATCTTTTGCAACACAACTTCCATATTAAAAAGTAAGAATATCCTTTCAGTGAAGAAGGTCCATTCCTTCTTCCCATGAGATGCCAATCAACGTTTGAACTGGATAAACTGCACTTCTCTTTCATTCCTCAAGTAAGTTTAACTTTGAGAAGTGCAGCTTCCCAAAATAATTACTCAGGAACATTCCTATGCTAGGTTGTCACTGCTGCCTATTCTTCTATTGTGTACATACACCTTTCTGTGTACTAGTATTTACAGTGAATACAGAAAGACAGCAATACATTATTAAGAATTTGTACAGTCATTTTATCAATACCTGTAGGAAAAGCTGCCCAAGCAATAGCAGGGGATGTAGTCTGCTTTTCACCATTTCCAAACTCATAACTCTCTGCTGCCTAGAAACATGAAAAAATCAGTTACATATTTTTAAAAATGCTGTAAATTCCTATAAAAAAATATTTGAAGATAGTTACATTTCAAAATTAAGTCCAGGTAACATACCTCAAATCCTCCAAAGTCATCGTCATCCATCTTTCAACTGGTACTAGAATACAGCAGAAATCTTGATTTAAAAAACAGAACCACCAAATTGTTCTATCCCCTTTACTCATAAAATACCAATAAAAACTTTGTAAAACCAAAAGGTATGGTGTTAGTTTTAAAGGACAGACTCAGGTAGAACAAGTCAATGTGGTCAAACTCTGAAAGCCCAGCAGTATGAAGAAATACAGTGCTCTACACTGCAGGAAAATGGACATATTTCATTGGCCAGTCTCATAACAGAAATGTGCTGATTTTATGATCAACTAGGAGTCAAAAGACAAAAATGACTCATGTATTTGTACTTCAGTTACATGACAGATGATTAGAGACCTCTGCTACAGGATACAACTGCTACCTAGCTCATCTAAGTGCTCTTCATAACCTCATCACCTTCTCGTCTAGGAATGAATATTCAGTCTTTCATCCATGTACTCATCTCCACAGATTACCTGAAGTATTCCTAATTTACAAGTTCTACAAAAGATCAAGGGATCTAAATAAGACTTTTTATTTTCCACAGAGGATGCAAGGACTAGAACTGTACGATCTCTAGAGAAACACTTTTTAATTTATCAAGATAAATTAAATATTGGGTATTTAATGGTGGAATTTGAATATCTTCAAGGGAAAAGATAAGCACTGCCCATCAATACTGTCAAACATCTTTTGAAAGCAAGAATGTAGAAAAAGTTTTCTAAGATAGGAAAACAGAAAGATGGTACTTTAAAAGCAATTGCTACTGCTCTTAAGTATAGGAGTCAAGACCCAAGTACATCAAAAAATGGTACTGAAAACAGCAAATAACCTAGTCTGGATATATATTTAAAAAAAAAAAAAAAAAAAAAAGTAGGATTTATGACCATCAGATTTCAAAATGAAGAATTTCATTAGTAACAAGGTAATGAAGATTCAATTTAATGCAATTATGATCTACCAAGTACTTTGTAGTTTTGTGTTTTTGATTTAAAATATAAAAATATTTTCCATTGTTAAGTTCCTTTTCCAAATCAGCACTGTGATTAAATCCAAAAAGACTTCCTGCTTTTCCCATCTCTTCTTAGCAGTCTGGCAACATCAGCACAAACTGCAACTTAGTAAAGGACTGTGGTGAATTTCTGGAAATTTTTCTGCTACCACAGAGGTCCTTCCCTATGTTTCATGGAGGGGCTGATTTAGATTTTACAAACTGATCAGCATTTTTGAGCCGTAGCCCTGAATCCTGTGGCATTTTGATATATTTATAGTTAAATTGCAGTTCTCTTTACAAAAATGCAGGATAAGTTACTCTGCTAGTGAAAGTAACTCAAGATATACAAGCCTGTTCAAAGAAGGGTATTATATGTATTTAAAAAAAAAAAATAAAATAAATCATTCTGATACGTGAATGAAGGATGATCCAAAAAACCTTTCAGGTCTTTATAGAATGTCAAAATGTTTGTAAAGTTAATTGACTTCAGTTAAAATAGACTATAGGCTGGAGAAACTTTTATTACTGTGAAATGACATGCTCAGAAACAGAATTCAAAGGGTTTGGAAGAAATCTCCAAAGTAAAGTATTAGAATGTCAGAAGGGGACATTTTCAGTTTATAGTCACTGCTGAAAATCACTACCAAGAAAGACTTCTATTCTAACACTTATCTTCCAAGGTTTAACAAATTAATTTCCAAGTTCTTATCAATGAACTTAGCTTAAAGCACCACTATCACAGAGTAAGCAGACAAATTCAGTTAAATTAAAGAAGAATAGTGTCCAATATTCACATGGTATTTTTCTAGGGACTGCAAGGGGCTTGTTGATTTTGTGCTGGTTGGGTTTTGTGCTGGTTCGGGTTTTTTTGAGAGAAAGAAGGTAGTTGCGTATTTTTCCCAACAATGTTAAATTCAAACAGTCAAATATTCATGCATTCCATTAACTTTCAGAGCTTTAATATACAACTCAAAAAAAATAACACATGCACACACAAGTGGTAGCAATGGAAGTTGTATACCTAGAACACCACTGCCAAAGCAGAGAGCAAGGCGCAAACACCTGCGTATGTCAACATATTCACATTAGCTGCTATTAAATCCCATCCAGAACAGAATGGTGAAATACAGAGGTACTGCAACATGTAGCATTCAAGTAGGAGTCAGAGCAGTCAGTTGGAAAAAGTGAGGCTTTAGTAAGGCACACAGGTATTCCATGCATACACTATGTGTCACATCAATACGTCCTATAGGCTCTACACAAAGTTACTTCGAAGGACCACAGCAGATTTCCTCCCTGAAGAGTAAGAGACATTATTCTCATCATCTCAGAACTGATTATGTCTCAACCAGAAAAAAGTACATTCCATATTCAGCACTGTGTTTTAAAAAGACAAAGTGGAACAAGTTTAGAGGAGTGCAACAGGGATGAAAACAATTTTGGTAAGGCACACTAAAATAAAAAGGCTTTTTTAAAAAAAATAAAAATATAAACAAAAATATCTGTAAAATATGAAAAATAATGTTCTAAGAAGTGATTAACTACTTTCATTTATCATCAGATGCAGCACTAACATAAAGCAGTAAAGGACAGAAGCCTCTGTAGGCAAAACGTGTTAATATCAGAGAGGATCTCCAGGAAGGCAACATAAACCCCTACAAGAAAACTTCGAAGAACCTATGCATACATAAAACAGAAGTAACTTTTGATAGAAAGGATGTAGGGCAGAAGAAAAAAGTGGAGAACCACCTGTTACTGAATCCACCATCTTTGTTATTACATTTCACATATAGTTTTCATAGATCTTGTAATGATCACAAGACTATTTTGACCCAAGATTTCCTTACTCCACAAATTTTAACACAGACGTTTCATGGGTGTAACAGCATGATTAATCTATGGATTATTACACACAATTTAAATTGAATAAAAGAGAAGCAGACTCCAAGCAAATTTCAGTAGTATCAATGGTGTTTTCACACCTAACTGCTAATCCTCCAATTTCCAGTTCCTCAGAGATCCCACAGGAATTCTAGGCTACGGGATTCTCAGCCAGCTAGGACAGAGAGTTTGCTATTTGTCTATGTAAAAGATACACTCGTACACGTACATGTACCTATGTTTTCAAAGACAAAGCTTTTAGTCCACAAAAAGAAATCCTGATCTGTTTACATGCTTTGTTTGCTGTAGGGAAAAAAAAAAATATCAAAACGAAACTGGCAAACTTGGCATGTATCACAAGTAAGCAGGAAACAGATAAGAATAGAAAGCATGTATTAAGTCCTAGAGAGATGCTAACATAGGGCACTTCAAAAACTCAAAGGCTGAGGTATTCTTTTCAAAGACTGTTAGTGCAAGAGCTCTTACTAGGAGATATCTTTCCAAAGATATGCTTCCTCTTGCATTAAAAAAAAAAAGCGTGCTTTCTGAAAGGAGAAAAGAACAGGGTCACACCAATGTTTTTAGAACTGTTTAGAAAAAAAATTAATCAACTCTATTTTTAGCTATGAGTCTTTCATAGCCTTCAAATGTACACATGCGTGTCACTTTAAAAAAAAACTTTTAATAATTAATTATAAACTTAATTGATTTCAATACTGAAAATATGACCAAATACACTATTTCTCCCTTATTCTGGTGATGGAAGTATATTTCTGATATAAATAAACAGCAGAACTAGCCTAACATCTCACACAGAACTGTAACAATTTTGGGAGCAGCATTTTTTAATCAATCTATTCCAAAATGGGTAATCAGACTTTTCTTTCCTCACAGACTAGGACCATTATTTGTGGCACCGGAATAGGAAAGAATACATTAAGTGCTGACAATCTGCAGAAGGATTTAAAAAATAACACACAAAAAAGAAACAACCCACACAGTCTTACCATGACTAAATGTGGTCTCTTAAAATATGCCTGATACTGGAATTAAGTAACTGTAAAATTGGGCAACAAGAAGTCAACCTCAAAATTACAGATTCATAGAAATTATGGTTGGAAAAGACACAGTAGGTCATCCAGCCCAGGCCATTTCCAAAACATTACAGTTCTCAAGATAGTCATGTCCTAAAAGGTTTGAGAAGCTCTCCAGTCATACTCCTGTAAGAAGAAGGAAACTTCTCATGGATCACAAATATGTAATCAGTAGATTTCATCAAGTTTGTATTCAGCAAATCATACAATGATTTAGACCAGAATTCAGACCAGCAGGTTATACAATCCAAACTCTTGCTCAAAGCAGGGTCAATACTGCATTCTGATCAGGTTGCTCAGGACTTCCTTCTCTCTGACTGATAACAATGCATGATGAATATATTCAAATACAGACAACTGTGCGTATCGGAGGTGCTTGCAAGCTTTCCGACAGCAAACGCAGTCACCAAAGCCTGACCATCAGCCTAACATGGGTCATGAGCACTTTGTGAAATGCACTTACCTAACAGACACACCAAAATCATGGGGTTTATATACAGGAAGATCAGGAGCCATTCTCAAGGAATAAGACAGAAAAATACAAGATGGGAAAAAAGCCCCTCTTCCCCATTCCAACTGTTAGGAGGAAAAGGAAGGTTGTAATCCCGCCAGAATTCCCCGTATTCTTCATATCCAAAAGACAAAAGTGGTAGTGAGACCAAAAGCGGAACAGAGACCAAACAACAAATTAAGAAGGATTCTTCGTTCACTTATAAGTCTACCGCTGGTTATTAAGAATTCAGATTAATCAAATCCTGATCTATTACGTGATCAGTCAGATGTAAATTTGCCTCGGTAATAAAGAAAACTAATTTTGCCAGGTACATTTAACTGGATGACATATCACCCTGGCCTGTAATTCTGAGTAAGTAGGTAACTTGTAGAATTTTGTACGTTTTAAAGGAAGAATTTACAGAGCACATTGCTCTTTGTTTTGTCAGAACACTATGTGTAGAGCTGGCTGAGGGTGGGGCTGCTGCATTTGTATTTCTGGCAAACACTGTCAGTGGTTAACCCCTACCTATGACAACGTATCGGTTTTACTTGCATGTTTATCCC